TATACTCGTAAAAAATTACGTCGATCAGATATCGATAACTACATAATCAAATCAGTTTTGTATTAAAAAAAAATAGACGGTAAAAAAATAAACAATTGATAAAAATCTGATCCGATGGAATAATTATCGATATCTAATCAACGTGATTGTTTTCAGGCATATAGTATTCAACGAACTCTACACATTGAACAGTTCAGATTATTGGATTCGACAATATTCTCCAATCTGATCCAAGACAGACTCATTCATGATATTAGGCGTGATTATGGATCACAATTTCTAATCACAATTTCCTGCTTCGTCTGTGACAACAGTGATATCCAAATTCAGCAACTTCCTCCACTCATTAAGGCAGAACATAAGAGCATCTCCAACCCACTAGGCATATGATGTTTGTTAGTCAAAATGCCTAATGTGATTCACTTTTTTCAATTCCAATGCACTAGGCATATGCTTAGGCATTTTGGCTCAGCTCACATTCACTAGCTACATGTAGTTAGCCTTCAAGGCTAGGCAAAATGTATTTAATCATTAAGATTATTTCCCTCCATCTTTGTTGCTGACGTGGCATTCTATAAAGTTAATAGTATTTGGATGAATAGCTAAAATAAAGAGCATGGTTGGGGCAGAAACATGAAATCGTTGATAGGCAAAATAAAATGTATACTTTATAGTAATATTTAGATAGGTAAAATGCCTATTACCATTGGAGATGCTCTAAGGAGCGAAATTATTGCCAAGGGAGACCGAGCTACGCGTTGCCCCTTCACATACAAAAGAATTAGTTATTTGACTGCGGCGCTTCTTAGGGCCCTCTGTGAGTCGGAGCAAAGTGGGAAATTAAAGGAGGAATTATTGATTATTTCGGAAGTGTCACCTAGTGATATTTCTCACCAACCATTTTTTATCATATATTTCATATTGTTTAATCCCTCGATATAAATTTTTAAGACTCACTCCCTTCATCAAATTTAGAGGTAATTTGAGATGATTTAAATAAATGTATTTTTTAACTCTTTATAAAATATGAATTGAATTTGAAGTGATATAATAAAAAGATAATGTGACTTAAATAAGATGATGTGAATTAAATAAAATAATGACTTAAATAAGATAATGATTTTTTAATTTTTTTAAGTTATAACAAATAAAATTTTAAAAAGAGAATACACAATAAGTTCTCTAATTAAAGAGAGGTGGGCCCACGTGAAGATGTGGCAATATACTAGCACAATAGCTGGATTCACACTGACCAAAACAAACAAACAAACAAATAAAAAATATTAAAAAAATGTCTAAGTCGAAATCAAATCAACTAATTATTATTTAAATTTAAAAATTAAATTTATTTTTTTAATTTAATAATGTGACAATTAATTAAAATATTTAAAATAATACTCTTTATTTTATTTTTTATAATTATCAACTAATTATCTTACTTACACATTATTAAATTTAAAAAATGAGTTTAAAAAATAGACTTGTATATCATTTTCTCTATTGTTATTTTTAAAATAAATTACATTAAGACATCATTAACTATTAATGAATAAGTATAGCAGGTTGGCTTAGACTAGACCGTATTTTTTAGGCCTGTATGGCCCATTATGGATTCCATCTCAATGATTCAAATCGTTCATTTTGTAGACAACGTGTAAATCATTCATTACAAAAATCAGCTCGATTCGATAACCATAGCCACGTTAGTTTATTATATTTGTTTTCTAAAAAATGAATTGTCTAGTTTTCAAATAATATTTATTGTTCATTTTTTTTTTCAAATAAATGCCATAAAATAACATAGTTATAGTTATAGTTATCGGATCGACTTGATTTTTTTTTCATAGATGAAAAACACGTGTGGTTTAAAACATGAATGATTCGAATTATCGAGACGGGATCCCTAATGGGCCCCTTGGACATGAACAACACGATCTAATCTACAAAATAGATTGAGGACAAACTAATCCCTAATACATATAATTTACTTTCAATAGAACGAGGATAGATCCAATCTAATAGTTACAAACATGAATTTCATGTATCTAACAATTAAATCAATTAAACGCAATTAATTTTAACCTGGAAAAATTACTATTACAACATTTCCAATGATGATTGAAAAGTCACGAACCCAAAGGTCAAGTACCAATTCACTTTGAAGAATAAGATACAATACGAATCAAAACCTCTCACGATACCTAAGCAAATTCACACCCTATTGCTTTGGATCCTTTGTGTTGTTTCTTTTACCATTTTTATCATTGGAATTGGAGCACCCATGTTGAATCCTCAACTCAATTCATCTCTTGAATCTTTTAGATTATTTTTTTTAGCTATTTTAGTTATAAAAAAATAAAATAAATTAAAAAGTTAATAAGGCAAAATATCACATTCAAACCATAATCGTTTAATTTTTTTCTCAGAAAAATCAAAAAGTTTATCCCAAACGAGACTTTTTAACCCCATGCTAAAATAGCCAAAAAGTCAAAAAAAATCAAAAAACCAAAAACCAGCCCACATCTTAAACGAATGTTGTATTTGGTTGGAAGATTTGATGAGAGAAATAGAAAAAAAAAAAGTAGAATAAAAAGAAAATGAGAAAAAATGGATAGGATTCTAATTTCAAGTTATGTTAAGAATTAAGGAAAGAAAATAGCTAAGTAAACTCAAAAGACAAAAAGTGAAATTGCATTTCCCTCCCACTTTTTTTTCGGGTATTTTCCATTATAACCAAATAAAAAATAGAATTGCATTTCCTTTCCACTTTCCAATAGACTATATTTGATTGGAAGATTTTGTGTGGGAAATGAAATTAGAAAGAAAAAAGAAAGAATTGATAGAATTTAAATTACAAGTTATGTTTGATTAAGTTAAAAAATAAAGAAAGAAAATAACCTAATTAAACGCAAAAAGTAAAATGTAAGATTTTATTTTCGTCACACTTTCTTTTCCTTTAATTTTCTATTAGAACCAAACAAAAAAGGAGAACGGGGGAGGGTGCTGTCACAAGAAGGTGCTGTGACCATCAAAATGGGACCGTTTTGTTTATTTAAAAAAAAAAACCAACAAACAAAACAAATGAAACCAACGGCTTTTGAGCCACCGTTTTACTGTAGTGTAATTTTTAGGTTTAGGTTGATTTTAGGAAAAAATTTGTCTCAAAATCAATTTTTTGTTAAATTTTTTTTAGGATAAATTGCACCAATAATTTTTATATTTTGTCTTTATGTTTTTAGTTCGTGTAATTTTAACTAACTCTATTTGATATAATTTTGACTTTGTCCTAATTTGATTTAATTCATTATAATTGTTAATTATTTTTAATAAAAAATACGCATACATATGTGTCACATTTTAAGAGCAAAGTTATAAACTTTATCAATTTACTAAGTTGACATCAACCAAACTCATCTGTCACGTTAGTTTTAGGGTCAAAAAGGTTAAAATAGTCACAAAATGAAAAAATATGTTAAAAAGTAAGTAAGATAAAATGTCACATCTAAATCATAATCATTTCACTTTTTTTTTTTCTTACAAAAGTCAAAAAAATCAAAAAACTTAACCTAAACGAGACTTTTTAGCTCAAGCTAAAATAGACAAAAAGTCAAAAGGACAACATACTTCCCAGACGGATAATTATTTTTCATCAAAAATCTAACATCATTTTCAATTGGAACAAATTGACATAATCAAAATTTACCATAAAGAACAAACTTACCCTAATTTTAGTTTTTTGTGTCAATTTGGCCCAATTGATAATGACATTCAGCTTAGTTTTTACTAAAAATTTTTAATATTTTAAGCAAATTTTTTAATTTCTTAGATACACCTAACATAAATACACTTGATAAGTATAATATTTGTGATTTTTTTTTTTAAAAAAAATCACTAAATATCAAAAATACAAAAAAAAAAATTATGAAATTTAGTATATTTTTTGTATTCTTGTGTATTTATTGATTTTTAAAATATTTTTTTACTAATATTTATTTTTTAAATACATCTGACTAAGGTACATTTAAAAAAATATAAAATATTGCTTAACATTTTAAAATTTTCACTAAAAATAAAAATAAAAATACAAAAGAACGAAAAACTCAATCAGAAAATTAAATTCAAAAAATTGAAATCAAACACATTGGTTAAGATTTTTGATGAAAAAAAAATATTAAGTTAGTTGATATTAACTCAATAAATTGATAAAGTTTATAAATTTGCTCTTAAAATGTGACACATGTCACTTATATGCGCATCTTTTTATAAATAAAAAAATATATAACAATTATAATGAATTGAATCAAGTTGGGACAAAGTCAAGAATATATAGTCAGATCGAATCAATTAAAATTACATAAATGAAAAACACAAAGACAAAATATAAGAACTATTGGTGCAATTTATCCTAAAATTTGTTGGGCGAATTACATCGATGGTCTCTATATTTAACCCCATGTCATTTTGGTCCTTACGCTTTCAATTGACTTAACTTTAACTCTTACATTTAGATTTTATTTTAATTTGATCCAATTGACAATATGGTTAGTGTTTTTTAAAAAAAATTATCACTAAATTGATTAAGATAAACTAATTGAGTTGAGCAAGTTTATAAATTTACCTTTAAAAATATAACACATGACATTTATCTGCATATTTTCCATTAAAAAAATACTAAGAATTATAATCAATTGAAACAAAATTATAAATTCAATGTCAAAATCAAGTCAATTGAAATTACAAAGACTAAAATGACATAAAAACCAAAATATAGGAACTATTGTCATAATTTGTCCAAAATATTGATTTTGAGACATAAAAATATAATATCAAGAATTAATCAGCTATCAATAATCAAGAATTACAAGCAAAACTTTGTACGGTTTGTATGCTCTATTTTTTTTTTTTTTTCCACACTTTCAGAGAGAAAAAGATGAGAGTTAAATCAGATTTGAATTGTTTTTCACACATGCAATAGAATTTGGCTGCCTTAGACTGCCTGAACAAATCGCAAAAATGTTTCTAAATTTACCAATACAAGATAGAAAATAGCAGGATTTGGTGCAGATTGGGCTGAATTGTAAACAGAAGAAATTGGAATTGCTGAAAAAATGACAACGGAAACTAAAAAGGAATTATTGGAGACTCAAATCATGTGAAAAGAATACTATATATTGTTTGTTATTGATTTACCACTTGTAATTTCATACATGTAGGCTCTTATTTTGGTTAGACTTTCCATTGTGCAGGTTACACTGACTCCATGAATGATCGAAGAACAAATCCAAAGATGGAAAATCTAAAGCACAAACCTGCATCAGCTCCTTCAGGACATCCAGTTTGGCAGAAGGATAATTCTCCCTTCTTTTCCAAATGCAACAGCGTTCTTAGAAAGGCTGAAAGTCCCATCACAGTTGATTTTGCTAGCCCCTTCAGCAAGAGTTGACCAATGGTTGATACCTTCACTGCCTGGGACTGACCATCGATTTCAGAACCGGGCAGTCCTTCCATGGCCTGCTCATGCTCAGATAAAGCTTCTTTAGGCATTAATATCTGAAAACATAAACATTGTTATGTTGTTTTAAATATCAAATCTCAGCATTTTTGGAAGGTGGCGCTAGAATAACAGAAGGGTTATTATTGCAAGTAATCAATAAAATTGAGTAAAACAAAAACATATAAAAGAAAAGGGAGTTTACTAATGTTCTTGTTCCGGCCATTCCCTTTTGCTATTTTCCTTCCTTTTTATCTTCTTTTCTTCATTCTTCATCTGTAAACCCTGCAGATCAGATAGGAATAAATGTTGAAATAAAATTGCAGATTTTTAGAGCATTCCCTAGATTACCAACAACTCACATCAACAACTACAATCACTATTTATGCTTATTTGCTATCAGTGATATGAGTTTTATCTACTAATCATATTTATCAAATGGAAAGATACAACCACCTGTTGTTTCTTCAGAGTCCCCAAATAAAATTTTGTCTGTCTTAGACGACGAACCCTCTTGGTGGTAGTCTTGATGGCTATCATAACCATGATGGCATAGAAAGTACGAGCCTGTTCTTACATGATATTCGGATAAATCTCCAACATTCATGACATTGTGAAGAGAAGGATGGGCATTGTGTTGTTGAATACCTTTCTCTTCACACTCATCATACACAATCTGGACTCCAACTTCCTTTACCTGAAAAAGCTCATCATCAAGACTCGCAGAGAGATTCATTTTATCGCCACCTTCCATCAAAAGATGCCCTATTTCCCAATGGCTAAACCATATCATACTGTCGTCATCGGGAACGCCTTTGAACATTGGACTGTAGGTCCACTTCAGACCTTTCGTCTTATTGCTGATTTTGATATAATCAAATTGATAGTTTGTAAGGCTTATATCATTGGCAAATGCATAGACAATATATACGTTCAAGGCTACGACCTTGAGATTAGGGACTAAAGGCACATTAAATGATATCGAGGACCCCTTTCTCTTATTGCTACACCAGCCTGGCACCTCATTCCCAGGAACAAATATGCTATATATACCACATTCATATAGTCCCTGTTTTTTTTTGATCGGCCTTCATATAGTCCCTGTGCCATGGTATTCAAAATAACATTAACGATCAATTATGCAAACAACTATATATACACATTTACACACACACACACACACACAACCTGAAGTGCACCCTTCTTTCTTGTGCATGTCATGTTGTTCGCCAATTCCACCTCAAGGCTTCCCATGGATTCCAAATCAACTAGGCCCAATTTGTTAATCATTTCTGCACCAGCATTTCCAATAGGCTCTAACTTGAACATCCCCTGAACCTCAACTAGTTTTTCACAATCACTTGAGTCCAAAATCAGAGATCTCAACAAGTTAGGAAGATTTGTTACCATTCCCAGCGAGCTACATCCATCTATATTCAACATTTCTAAACTCATTGGAAGTTCTGGCAGTGATTGGAGTCTAGTGCAACGAGATAACCTAAGTGATTGGAGCATATTAAGACCTTTGATGTTCTCTGGTAGGCTAGAAATTGGATTCTCACTAAGATTCAAATCTTGCAACACAGATAAGCTACCAAGACTTTTCATAAGATCATCATTTGACAGATTGCAATTTGAAAGGCTTAAGCTTACTAATGAGCCTGGTAAAGAAGCCAATGGAAAATAGATGGATTCTGTACTTTTTCTTGGTTTCAATACCCAAGACCAGAAGAGAGAACTCCATGATTTATCCTCACTAGTGGTAGTTGCTATTCTATTTATGGCAGTTCCATCTGCATGGAGCACTGTTAAATATTTCGTCTTTCCCAACTCAGGCAACTGATCAAGCTTTGAGCAACCAGAGAGAATGAGTTTTTCAAGGGATGTAAGATGACCAATTTTGCTCGGAAGCTTCTCAAGATTTTTGCAACCTTTTAGATTCAAGAAAACAAGCCTCCCTAATTTCCCTATTGATTCATGAACCTCTACCAAGTTTATGCAATCCTTAAGGATCAAATTCTCAAGATTAGGGAGTCCGTTGAAGTTAGGGGTATTGGTGAGGCCATAGGAATGACTGAGATTGAGGAATTTCAATAATCCCAGCAACTGTAATAAAAATACAAAAACAGTCTACAGAATTCATATGTTGGTCCTGAAAATAAAAGATCAGGAAAAGAAAAAAATATAAAAATAAATAAGTAATAATTAATCATACCTTGGTCCTCTTCCAAACTTGTTCCAAGCTACTATTGCGCAAGTCAAGAGCAATTAGGCTCTCTATAGAAAAATCACTCGGTATGGATTTTAGAGGAAATCCATGCCATCACAACCATCTTAATCTTTTAGGGAAGTCCTTATACCCGCTCGTGGTTTCTACATAATTGAGCTGCAGCAATCTAAGTTTGTGCATCCTTGCAAATGCATCAGTTTCCAACTCAACCTGATTTGAATTTCTTACACCAATGTTTATTGGGTTCCAGGAGAAGAATGTTATGTCAAGAAGGTTCTGGATTATGGGTCAATTGAGGGAAGTTAGTTAGGTAGTGGTTGAGAGATTAGTTAGTCAGTCAGTTACATCAGTTGTGAATTAGTTAGTCAGTTAGAAGGGTGAGGCGAAGAAGTAGTTATAAATAGTTGAGGAACTCCCATATGGGGAGGTATGTAAAATTCTGAAAATAATACACAGATTCTGCACTTTCTTCCTTATGCCTTTGCTTCTTCTTCCCTAGCTACTACAATGACTTCAAATTTTGAGTTCTTTCAACCAAGAAATGGGCACACGAGTCACCATGTCTGTATATGTATTCATTGCTTGAAATCTTTGGTCATAAGGTCTCACCATCATTTTCTACATAAGAAGAGTGGTGAATCAGAAGTCAATGAATAACATTGAATCAAAGTTATAGTAAGAATGAATATTGTCATTCTTATGAAAATGTCATAACTGAACAAAACACTTCAGTTTAAAGCATAAAGCATTTATATCAATTGAAAACTAGTCTTTTCACAACAAAGCATATAGGTGTACTCTATTCGAAGACCAATATTTTTAAATCATGTTTCAAAGATTCATCAAAGCATGTCTCCAGACATTTCACACGACAATGGTACTCACTTTCAGCACTCAATTATGAAATGAAAATATGTATATGCCATGTTATAATACTTAGGTGTTCCGAGAATTGCAGATTGATCGAAGATCAAGACATCTCTTATTTTCACAATCTTTCAAAATTGTAGTTATATTATACCAACAAGAATATTAGCTTATGGATGTGAGAGTTTCTAATCTAAGTTACAATGGATTTGAAATTTGGCATGTATTGTTGAGATAGAAGCATCCATTTCCATGGGTGGTTTTGAGAAATACAAATATGACAATGTTAATGGAGGAGAGGTAGTAAGTTAATCTCACCTCGATAATAATAATAGAGATGTTATAGTTTCAAAAAAGAAAGAAAAGTACAAATATTTTCTCGAATGTGGAGTCGTTCTCCTAAAGATTCCATCATCTTCAAACCTTTGAAGACTCCATTTTGTGGGTCTTGTGAGACCTACTACAGTGATTTGAACCATTCATCTCGTAAGTCTTAAAGAGAAGAATATATAAGCCAAAAAAAAAAAAAAAAAAATTGATCAGACATCTATAGATATACTGACTTATTGTATTTTATTTTATAAAGTGGACAGTTTTAATTTAAAATCATATTTACAAAAACATGATTAGTTAATTTGTCTATTGATTTCATATATGTTCTTTCAAGAACTATGAGATTAACGGTTCAAATTACTATCGTGGGCCTTGTAGGGCTCACGAAATAAAGCCTCAATAGGTATGGAAATGATAGTGTCTTGAGGGAAGCTATTCCCCCGGGAGGATAGACATGATTTCATAAATGCAAGCAAAATTAGTAAAGTGAAAATGAAACTTATTGTGTACCTCATTTGGCAACTTTCAATTGTAGCTTAGAACATCTCCAATGGTGTGCTATATGGCTTGCTATTACTAGATTTTGCTGTGAAACTTTCAAATTTTCACTCCAATGGTAAGGCATATGACTTTCTATATATCACCTATAGGTAAAAATTGTGTCAAATATAGCACAAGTTTTATGAGTTTTTTTTTTTTTTTTATAAATATTCTAGAAAAATAATAATTTAGAGAATTGACCAACTTTTCAAACTATTTGAAAAACTAACATACTTTTTAAAATCACATTTTAAAAATGTAATTTCATCTTGAAATCGCATGTTGAAAATGCAATTTATGATGACATGGACTTCACGTTTTGAAATTACATTTTTAACATGCGATTTCAAGATGAAATTGCATTTTTAAAATGTGATTTTAAAAAGTATGTTAGTTTTTCAAATAGTTTGAAAAGTTGGTCAATTCTCTAA